ATACACGTATATGCTTTAGAAGATCCAAGTCGTAATCAAGTCTTAAGAACATAATCTTCAAGACTTGCCCAGATAAATAAGAGGTGCCAACCAGACGAAGAATATATGTTGGACAACCGAAAGAATATGACGAAATGATAATTTCTGAGACGGAGCCGACTAACAAACCTTACCTCCATGTAGATGATGATGATGATATTTTAATGGCAACCTTCACAAGATCAAATATTTTGATATATATTGGGAACATTGACCCTGTTTTTGATGAGTCACGAAGGATATTTTGAGAGAGTTTAATGACAAGTGACAATCCTTGGCAAATTGAACTCCCTGAATCAGAAATTTTATCAACCCGTTGCCAGGCAATAGCTCTGTAAACACGGTTCAACATGCAACAATAGAGGAAGCTGTGTTTATGTATATCCGCCCGACTCGCCAATAGACTGGCTGGATACCGATCATGTGATATATGTTTACTGTATGTCCGTGTCCATTCCGCGGTTGTATAACGAGAGCCGTGAGCTGCAAGTTCAGAGTGAATTGGAACCAGGAGTGCAGAAGAGTGCAAGAGGTCAGTCTGTGAAGATTTAACGCGTGGTTTGAAGACTTTATATGTGCTGTAACACGGTGATATTGAAAGTGCGTGATACAGCGAGACTTTCATAGTTCGTGTGTTATAAATCCGTTGCCAGGAAACGGATAGTGAAGACTAGTGGAAGTATACTTTGAAGATTAGTTTGGAGTGATTTTCTATTACGTAAATTAGCAGTAATGTAATAACTATTTGTAGTTATGACCTGTAGCTGGTCTATAAATCCAATTACCAATCAGAATCCCTGTCTTTATTCACTGTGATACACGCGACAATATTTATAAGAAACACTGATGCTGCTTTTGATAGGCACCGAAGGATATTTTGACAGAGTTTAAGACACGTGACACTTCTTGGCAAACTAACTCCCTGGATCAGAAATCTTATTGTCGAGTTTTTAGAATGTTATGTTGTCAGGAAACTCTCTGAGCTTTATGGATCTCGAGGGCTTACTGCCGTGTCCACAGACCCGCCTCTCGACCCTGTTTTACACGACTTAATTCCAGTCCACAACCAAACACTCTCTTCCTCCAAGATTCATTTAATACTATACTACCGTCAATTGTTAAATCTCCCAGCTAGGCTTACTCCTTTATGTTTTGCGAATTGTGTATGCATTTGTCATCTTCAGTTCCCCTCTGATTCCTGCCTTCCCCTCATCCTCACTGATAACAACATGCTCATAAGAAGTATCCCTGTAACAGACCGTGGAGGCCCATAGGGTTGTGAGATGTCCCACATTTTCTCTAGACAGTCGGCTCATAGATGGCGGTAAGGTTGTCAGCCCCACGCGCCGGCCACCCTTTACCCCCAGGAAGATTCCTGGTACTCATTTCTGTTACAGGCTGAGTCTACCCCAGGGCCATAGTGCGGCTGGAAGAATTAGGTAAATTGAAAAAATCCACATAATCGGAACTCAAACCCGCGACCTTCGGGCTTGTAGCTTAGTGCCTCAACCAACTACGCTACTGCTTGCTACACCATGCTCAGAATTCCTCTGAAATACATACAATTCTTTTCACTTAAAATGTTGTCTAATTGTAATCTAGCTTATGTAAATGTGATTAATATTTCAAGTCACGATTCATCAAGGCCTGTGAAGAAGAGTGCGTTTCTCGTGCACGTAGAGATACGTAGGGAGGCAGCTGGCTACGACACGACGTTTTTCGCTTTGTTATAATATCCACGTAAAAGAGAAAGTGTATCCGACATACAAAGTAATAAAAGTGACAAAGTGGCTGAATCAGACCTGTCTCTATTCTTTGTGTAACCATTTTTGCTCACGGGTATAAATGGCGTTTTGGAACTACACAGATGGTCAGATTAGCTGGAAAGCCCGAACGAATGACCATCTTCAGGGCCCGGATTTTGCTGACATGTCATCTTTTTTTTCCTTGTATCCTATGCGATGCTCTTAAATATATAAATCTCGGATATGAGCTGCTGGTTACAGAAATGTAAATTTTATAGGCAATTTTTTGTCATTTTTTGACATTTTTAGGTTTAAGGTCATTTTTTATTTTGGGGGTAATTTTTTGGTAACTTTTTGGACATTTAAGGGTATTTCTTGTCATTTTTGGCCATTTTAGGGAATTTTTCTTCATATGTTTTATGAATTGCCAATAATATGAAAGCGAAGTGTTCTTTCTTTTCTCCTTTATGTCATTTTTCTGGATTTTTTCTGTCATTTCATAGGTCATTTTTTTAATATTTTCAGGTCATCAAAATCCGGGCCCTGCATATTATATTTTTGACTCATATTTTAGGTCATTTTTCTGGATTATTTCGGTCATTTTATAGGTCATTTTTTAAATATTTTCAGGTCATCAAAATCCGGGCCCTGACCATCAGACACTATAGAGGAGAATATTAGAGTATAAGTGTGGATTCATTATTACATTTGTCGTTGTTAGGAAGATAGTCATAATATCTTAAGGCACTGAAGAGTACTCTCTGGAATTAAGTAGCGTACGTCTGTGATCCTCGGTAAATATTCCCGTTGCTGCTCTTCCTGGATGTCTTCTTCGTGTTTTCAGAAGCAATTTTAGAAATTCCGTTTTCCGGTTTAAAATTATTTCAGTGTACTTCTAACCATGAATTCCTGCACACCTGCCCCTACAGTATTGATGATGGTGATGACTCCAAAATTCTGTCTCGTGTCTGGTAGCTGCTGAACTGTCACAAACGTAACGTACGTAAAGTCGCTTATGTGCCTTGCTGGTTCGATGCATCAAGCGATCTGGTTGGTGTTTAAGAACATTATTGGCATGATATTTTTAATTTAATGTTTGTAATTTCCAGTAGAGTAAATTTTATGTGACAGTAGAGACTTCATCAGGTCCTATTATTTTTATACTAAATATTTTCAAATATGTAAATTAATCAAGAATATACACTATACAGAGTGTAAATATATATGTTACAACGCTCTATGATAGATAGATGGGTTCAATCTGATCATATTTTGTTAATACACACATGTCCGGAAACGCTTTGTTTACGCGCTAGGGCCTCTGAAATATGAAGAAGGACGCCTTACACCTTATTTCTGTGGCTTGCTGGTGATATTTACCAAACATTTCTCCAAGAGACCTTACCCAAGCTGCTGGAGGTGGTACTTTTGGAAGTCCGTCGTGAAATGTGGTTCCAGCATGATGGTACCCCGACAAACTGCACTAATTTCGTCCGTGAGTATTTGGAAGAAACCTTTGACAACTGATGGATTGGACATGGAGGCCCAATAACCTAGCCCCCTAGCTCTCCTGACTTGACTCCACTGGATTTCTTTCTCTGGGGGTACATGCAAAGCCCGGTGTACGAGACTCCAGTGGAGACACAACATGATCTTGTGGTAAGAATTGCAGTAGCAGCTGGAGCCACCCGGGAAACGCCGGGAATCTTTCAAAGAGTTCAGTATAACATAGCCAGGTCGTGCAGAACATGCAATGAAGTCGGTGGCCGCCATTTTCAAAAATTGTTATAATATAAAACAACGATACCATCCCCAGAAACTTATGCATCCTCACGGAAAATTTTGTGACACTTAGTGGCAAAATGAATTGTTTCCTGACATAGGTGTATTAACAATACATGATCTGATTGAACCCATCTATCTACCAGAGAACGTTGTAACATATATTTATTTACATTCTGTATAATTAGAGACATTATGTAAGAGTTTGAGGCCATTAACGATGTATTATTTGCAAACAAAATTAATTCGTTACTTGGGTATATTTTATTTTAAGAAAACCTCCGGCTAGTAATCGATACCTGAGCGGTAATAATTATAAAAGCCGAAGTTAAGTTGGGAATTTCGATTTGCAACTGGTCCACTATGAATCCTGTTTCCGTGAAACACAAGTTAAATTTTATCAAATTTCCTAAAACGATTCACTAAACAGCATTTTAATAGTCCTGCGTGTGATATGATTCAGACCTCATTAAGATCCCCAACTTTTATTGCAAACACTTTGTTTCAGTCCTCTTAATTGAATATTAACAAAAAGTTCTAAAATATCTAATCATATACTTCCTTTCGCTAGATATTAAATATTTGATACGCCGCGTACCGTACATTAAACACCGCGTCCAACAGTTCTATTGTTCCTTGTGTATTCATTGCCTCTGGAATATGTTTACAGAGCCGTTGCCTACTAATGGCAAGAAGGAGGAAGAGAGACAGTCACACAGGGAACAAGGTGATTTCATATACCTCCTTTTATTTTTCAAAACAAAGAAAGTAGGCTAAAAATAATACTAATATTTCAGGCCTCTGAGTCCTTTTAATGCTTTTTGTTAACTCTGCAACAATGTGCTCATATCGGAGCTCTGAGAGATTCAAAATGGCAGACTAGTTGCCTAAGGTAGGAGTACTGTATGGGCTGTCTACCTGTAAATCTTCAGACGCTACTGGGTTCGGCACCTGGTGTGTGCAGTAGAAAAATCGAAATATGTTACTGTGTGCACAGTAAACTGTTTGTTCTGCGAGGTGGGGAGATTGCATTAGTTTCATCAGAGAGAACACTGTTGCGTTCATCCTTACTATCATCAAGTTACAACACAATCTTCACATTTTCCAAAGTAATTAAATTCTTGAAGAAAGCAGTCTTCTGGGATTTGGCACCGTGTATATGTGGTGTTAACCGACGTTTCGGAGGAACGTATCGCCTCCATCTTCAGGGTAGAAGGAAAAATGTAAGAAATCCGCAAGAGAAGAGACCGTGAGAACCGGTAAAAGCAGTCCTCCGAAACGTCGGTTAACACCACATATACACGGTGCCAAATCCCAGAAGACTGCTTTCTTCATAGTCACCGCCGTGAAAGCCTCAAATCTTACATAATTAAATTCTTGCTCACAAATAACAGTTTGCACTGATAATAAAAGAGCCATTATCTTTTCTTTCAGGTTGAGTTTTCCTGGAACCGCTCACAAAGTCTGGTAATGTAACTGCAATAAAAACGCATCAGTGAAAGCTGCGTATTTAAGAAGACAGATAATATGCCCTGCTGAGACGTAGATCAAACCCAGTCTCCTCAGTATTACTGCTCCACGTCTTGGCGAGCCACTTATTCCGACCTTCTGCAAAACTGGAACCATATTCCTCAGCCGTTTATATCACCGAAATATTTGCGAGTGCTGGACAGAAACGTGAAATGTGCAGTTCCTAGATTTGCATGGTGCTTACTTGTCAGCTGGTGAAGTTAGCATTAAAAGTTGAAGCATAACGCTGGCAGATTCCTAACGGTTCGTGCTGATACTTTGCTTGGAGTGGTGTAAGATGAGAGTGCGTCTCAAGAAACCGGCCCACCGACGGCGAGCGAGACAGTCGTGCCTGTATTGCAGATGACGGGAGGTCTCCCTCCGTAACGCAGGAGTCACTGCATGTGGGGTGAGGGGAGAGTGTTACGTCACATAGCCGGACCATGCGGTCCACGCAATGCTTATACAGTACACGCACTTCTGCAGCTCCCCGAGAAACCACACTCTTACTTTTGACTGCTGTCGCGTTGCTGGCCAGAGTAACGCTAGCTGGGCCTCGCTACAGTTCAAGGATCGTGGAAACTAAAACAGGTGCCATCAGAGGAATCATTCTGGAACTGAACTCCAGACATCTGGAGCCTGTTGAGGCGTTTAAGGGAGTACCATACGCTGCGCCACCTGTCGGGGACTTGCGTTACCGACCACCGGCACCACCCTTGGTCTGGTCGGGGACTCGACTGGCCGATACGTTTGGGGCTGTGTGCCCGCAGAGGTATCCGGACATCTCGAACCGCTCTGCAGCCCTTCTCACCATGCCGAGGGGCAGGTACCACCACCTGAAGCGGCTAATACCCCTGCTCGCGAACCAGAGCGAAGACTGCCTCTTCCTTAACCTGTATGTTCCGGGAAGCGGTAAGTGACAATTGGTTTCTGCATCATGCAACTGTGGTTCTGCGTAGTGTCGCTCATGAACGAAACGAAATAGAGGCACTTGAAATCAGGATGCAATGAGAAATATTGCATTGTTATAGAAAATTTCTTTTTTAATTACGTGTAATTTCTCTGTCGGATGTATGATCCTTGAGAACAATATACAAGAAAAATATCTGGTGCTAACAAAGAGGAAGTAACGAGAGGTTAGAGAAAATATACATCAAGGAACTTAATAAATTTTACTGTTTATTGCATATTATTGAGGTGAACAAGGGAAGGAAAGCAGATTAGAGGGACATGAAAAGCTCATCAGATCACTCAGTCATGAGCTGAATCCTTCTTAAGAAGCTGTCAGTTTTGCAGCCACTCAAGAAATTCCCAGCATTTTATGGAACAAGAAGGTTCATTACCATGTTCACAAGAGCCCTCCACTGGTCTCTGTCCTGAACCACATCAATCCAACTCATATCATTCCATCCTATCTCTCTAAGATCCATTTTAATATTGTCGACCCATCTACGTCTTAGTCATCTTGTTCTTCCCAGTGGTCTCTTTCCATCTGGCTTTCCTATCAATATTCTATATGCATTCCTCTTCTCCACCATTCTTGCTACATACCTTGCCCATCTCATCCTTCTTGGCTTGATCTTTCTAATTACACTTGGAGAAGAGTACAAGTTATGAAGCTCCTCATTATGCAGTTTTCTCCAGCCTCCTGTCACTTCATCCCTCTTCGGTCCAAATATTCTCCTCAGCACCTCAGCATCAGATAATATTTACAAAATGGTAGGCCGAAAATATGGGAGGAACATGCTTAGGTGTATGCGAAAAGTAATATTCAAATGCGTCTTAAACATATGTGATATAGACTAGATTCAGCTGGCTCGGGGTGGGGTCTAGTGGTGGGCTCTTTTGAAGAAGTTTCTATAAAAGTCGTGTAAAATTTCGGTCAGAAGAATTTCTTTCAGAATCTGAAGGAGGGATACGCTTCATGGCTTGCTTCTGTGATTCAATTATTACCCAGTGTGCATTCGTGCATATATANTCTTTAGTGCAACTTAAACTTGTGTATGTTTGCACATATTATATAGTCTCTCACAATCTGTTTGTCTATGGCTCTACAGCCCTTTGTTGGGCCTTGGCCGCTTTTTCAGTTTCTTGATCCTGTACACAGTCGGTAGGACTCCTTGGACGGGGGATCAGTCCGTCTCAGGGTCGCTACTTGCATACAGGATAGCACAGACACAGAATAAATTCACACAGACATCCATGCCTCAAGTTGGATTCGAACCCACGATCTCAGTGTTCGAACGGGTGAAAACAGTTCATGACTTAGACCATGCGGCCACTGTGACCGACATGTCTTTCACAATATTTACTGGAATTTGTGCGGAATATATTATGCAGAGGACTTAGAAAATTCATAAAATTCTGAAACACACGGCACTTATATATTTCGTTTGAAGTAGTAACAAATCGGGCACTTTTAACGGGTATTGAGCTCAGTTTCTGCAAAAATTATGTATGGAAATACCCCTTCATGCATGTAGGCCAACATCAACATCCGAAAATTGAAAATTTTATAGCCGCGCAAATGCAAGAAGCGGTATTTCTATTTTAATTATTACATGGCATTGCAGTGTAGAATTCATTATCACGTACTATTCCCTCCTTCATATCTCTAAGCAAAGATACCCGTTTAAGCCCAACTGTCAAATGTTAAGGTGAGTTCAGTTCGAGTCCGCACCATTTTTGTCGCGTGGGTGGAGTACCACTACAAACAAGACATCACACCCCACACCCAATTACACGGTTTCATCCCAGCTACTATGTTTCGTGCTTTGTTTTCGTCTCCAGCATCAGAACAGGTCTAATGGTGTTGTCACTATTACCTTTTTTTCGGAACAGGTTAAGAAACTGAAGTGAAACGAAGCGCTTCACAGATTCACTATGCTAATAGGAATATAATAAAAAGAAGAAGAAAATATGTTATTAAGTCAGTACACATTGCTTATAATTAGCAAAGTATCTTTCTTGGATAGGCGTATACATGTACCCACAACACCCACGTCGTCCAGACCGGTTCTGGGGCCCAGAACGGCTGCTCTTTCCCCGGGGTTAAAGCGACAGGGGCGTGAAGCTGACTACTCACCTCAAATTAGTGCCGAGTTAAAAAAATATGGATCTATACACCCACTCCCCATACGTCTTCATGGCTTAGTGCTTAATTAGCAAAAGGATAAATTTACCTTAATTACCCACAATAATGATGTTTATTTCTAAATTCCCGGAAGGAACAATTATATTTCTTCTACCTAAACTTGGCCCCTTGTTTCAAAGACAAGTTGAAAACAAGAAAAAGATAACGAAAGAAAGAAAAAGTAAGACTGTTAAGAAAAGAAGGAATGAATGAGTGAAAGAATAAATAAATTACAAATAAACGAGGAATGAAAGAATGGCTAGACGGATACATGAATGAAGGGAAGCACAGAGAGACAGAACGATCAAGTAAGAGGAAGAACACAATCTTCCAGTCTTTTCGCTCCTTGATTTCCGAATTACAGGACTTTTCCAACTGCCCCACGTTACGTCCTTCCTTGTGTTCCTTACTGTGTTACGAGAAGCACAACAGCCTTTGATGCGTTCAAGGAAGCCAGAGAATTATGGAAAGTACAGTTTGGAAGGAAGAGCAACTTTTAAATGGTTCAAAGGGACGAAACTTCGGAACTTGTCAAATGGAGGTTTACAACCGCCATTTAACAAGTTTGCGGACCGATGGGTAACTGTGTTTGCGTCAGAATGGGGTAGCATACTGTGAGGGGAGTAACATCTACTGCAAGTACACTTAATGAGAGAATTTAAAACTTGTGTAATTAGAACCACGTTCTTATTCTGCCATTCCATTTGCTCTTTGCCTATGTGGATATGTACTTCTGCCCCTTTTCAATTCTTCAACCACCTGATTGATTTTCATGAAATTAGGCATGAAAGGACACAATTTGAAGCAACCCGAACCTGTTACCTCTCGATTTCCTGAAATCAGAAATAACAAAATGGTGGACTCACAAAGTTATCATGTGGGAGCGGCATTGACACTACGTAATATAAAGTTGTCGAATAATATATGGTAATGATTCTTAGAAAACAGTCAGCTTTCTTCATTAAGATAGTTTACAGATTGTATAACAATAACACCACTACTACATAAAATGCATAATTTATTTACCTGTCAAGTTGTTGAAGATAACTCATGAATCCTTGGAGCTACGTGAGTGAAACCTGGCACGGTTGTAGAAGAAAATAATTCCAGCAATTTCAGTATAAAATAATACTCTATAAGTTAACAATGACAAGCATACGGTGGTGTGAATCTTGTAGGTCCGGTATTGAAATTTAAATGTACACTCGATATGTAGGTCAACTTAGGTGACAAGTTGTCCCAGCAAAACGACGACTACTACTACTACGTGGCTTTAATCCGCAAGCGAACCATACCGACCGAGCAATCGCCGCTTTTCGGCGAAGTTAGTGCCAAATTTAGCTGATAGAAGTGTCACGTGGTCAGCACAACGGATCCCCACTGCCGTTCATTTCGGTTTTCTAGAATGCCCAGCAAAATAATTTTTATTATTTCTTTTTTTTTTATTGCTAGTGGGGTGGAACTAAGTCACTCGCACTGCGGTCACTTCTGGCCTATTTTACCAGCCCCAGGTGATAGGTGAGGGTGATTGTGGAACAATTGGTGGAATGAACATTGGCAGGGGAAACCGAAGTACTCGGAGAAAACCTGCCCCAGCGCCACTTTGTCCACCACAAATCCCACTTGAAAAGACCCCGGGATCGAACCCGGGCCGCCGCGGTGGGAAGCCAGCGACTAACCGCTTGAGATATGGCGCGGCCCACTTTTATTATTAGCTGGGATAATATGAATGCAAATCTGATTCACAACTGAGAGCAATGAAATGTTCATAACCGGCAAGGTTTCGACGGAGTCACGAGCTGTGCAAGAGTCCAACGTGCTTAATGATAATCTAAATTGTATTTTATTGTTAGATCGTAAACTTGCCTCATTTACGAGTAAATATGGCAATAGGGATTCAGGGTTTGTCTCACTGAAGTCTGTATGTCGGGGAAGTGGGCTTCATAAACTCCTTGTCTTCTATTCGAGGGGATATAATTCACCAATTTGTAACGAGGATGTTTACTTTAACAATATTTTGACAACTGCACAAAACTAAAACAAACAAAAGAAAACTCTGTGACCTGTAGTCCGCAAGCGAACTATACCGACCGAGCAACCACCGCTTGTCGGCGAAGTTTAGTGGCAACTTTTGCGGATAAAGAGTGTCACGTTGTCAGCTCAACGGATCCCCAAGGCCGTTACTTTCGGTTTTCTAGATATGAGCCGCTATTTCCTTGAAATAGCTCCTCAATTATCCTCACGAGGCTGAGTAGACCCCGTTCCAGAACTTCTACTTCTCAGAAAATCTGGTAGCGCCGGGAATCGAACCCGCACCTCTGGATCTGTAGCCAGGAACGCTGACCACTAGACCACAAGTTGCGACAAATTTAATAACTTCGAATTGTATCATGGCAGTTAAATTCTGGGTTACGATTGACGTGGAGGTAAATGGTCGCGGCATATATTGAGCTCGAATTCTTGTTGCAGCAATTGCGTGGAGAAGTGAAGAAAATCGCAGAAGTTATTAGTCAGGTTAATAGCATACAGTAAAAGATCAGAATCACAGAATTTTTCTCGAAATTTCTGGAACAGGGATACCGAGGGACGTGAGTGTAAATTAGATGAAAATACGGGGAATAATGGATTTGAGGTTTTCACGACGATGACCGTGAAGACAGAAAGGTAACGCCGTGTATCTTTGCAGACGTCCACCAAAATTCCTCCGTAACACAGAATTCTATCAAATTATACAACACAGAAGTTCGTGCTGTTAAAAAAATGAGTGCTTATGCTAGGA